AGATTATACATTATGTGGCCACACGTAGCTTTATTTAATTTTTTTTTATCCTCACTTTACAAAACTTCTGGTAAACACATAAGCACGTACTGACGCACGCACACAACATTAAAATGTCATGTGAAACCTGTGCTTGGCGCAGTAAGTTCTACTCTCGCCAGTTAAAGTCAACAAATCGCTCACATGTATATTTTTCGTGATGGATGTATGTATGCGTTTATATATTTATATACTTATGTATACATATGTGTAGATACGTGTGCGTCTCTGTGTGTGTGTACTGATGCACATTTTTGCTCTATTGGTTTATTGGTCCGTTTAGTCATTTGCTTCTTTATCTGTTTCGTTCGTTGATTAGTCGCAGTAATCAATGTTTGAATAATTGCCGTTCGCTATTGACAGCACACATTTTAAAGTTTTTATTATTGCCTTTGAAATGAGCTTGCCTCTGCATTTGTACTTTTGTATTTATGCTTGGCTAGAGTTAATGGCCATTTTTCAGTAATTAACTCGATTTTGAAAAGCCTGAGAATTTTCTAATTTTTAATGTATTACAAAAAGTATCCAAGCAATGTCGTTCGTTAGCATTTTAGTGAAGTTGAGTTATGTAGGCAAACAGGGAAACATAGAAAGGGGAAACCGAAAACAAAGAATAGGAATAAGACCTTCTGACGATCGAAAGCGAATTCGTAGCCAATTTGTTCCACTTTGATCTTGCGTAAGTCGTACATATGTACCTAAGCGCTTATATACGAGTGTAGTGTCTTAAGATTGCTTAATTCACACAACGTGTGTAGAATTAAATAAAATTCACCAAAAATTTATCTCAGAAATTAATAGATAAGTTCGATTCGGTCTGCAACGCACCTTCAAATGATGTTGAAAAAGTCCGGACTTTCATAAAAGAAACCAGCATACGGTGTTACTTTCCGCGTCTCGACAATACCGTCTAAACTATATTCTGATTTCCCAACTTCATATCAGCGGTAATATAACGGTTATTTTGAAAAGTTTAATATTATAAAAAGATTTTAATGAAAAAAGTCGTCATAAAAATTCCGACAGAAATTAAGATTATTATTTAATTATTAAGCCGATAGCCTTAGATGCTAGTGCTTTTAAGAGTTTAGTCTTAGAATTTATTTCTCTGGCGAAATTAATAATAATAATAATAATAATATTTAATTATTATTAATTGTTAATATATCGTTATGAATATGCACCTACTAACTATGATTAGTTATTTTTTTTATCAATTGTTAGAGGGAGTGTGATATTTTCAGCAATAGGTTTTTATTTTCAATAAAACATATTACATAAGAGAAACGAAATAAAACGAAAAACTCAGTGTTATTACACCGTAATAATAATAAAAATAAAGAAATCCATAAAATTTATAAAAAATCTTTTTCATAATTCGCTTCTTGGCCAAATCAATTCTAGAAAAGAGGGCAAAAATTAAATTTACTTTCCGAGTTGCTTTTAAAATAGTATAAAAAAACAAAAACAAATTTTCTATTTTTATAAGCAATCCAGAAATGATAACTAAAATATTAGGCCACTAAGCTCAAGAGTAACTAATTATAGTTGAACTTCTAAGAGAACCACAAAGCAGCTTACGATTATTGTTTTAGTTTGTTTTCATTATTACTAAACACAAACAAAGACGGCATCTATGAATTTTTGAGAACTGCAAAAAAATAATAACATAGCAATATTGGCGTTTGCTTTTAAAACTGTATGGGACTATTGGCGGAGGAGACCGTAATATATGGATTTGGGACCAGACTGAACATGTTGGCTGGCTGGGCTGTGCCGAACAGCATTATAGTCAATCTGCTTTACATTTTGCATTGGCTTTCAGCTTGCTATGGAAAATGGAGATGGCCACTACGCCTTTTTTTCTTTGTAGTCCACGATATCTAGCTTGCCTTTGATTGTGTGTGATGATGTTGTTCAGTCTTTTTTATTACTATTTTGTTTGTGTACAAAGTAAAAATCACGTATTCTGTGTTACACTATTTTCAAGTTTCAATCACAAACGTTTCTTCGTGCATTAAACTGCAAGCGACCAAGCAGGCAGGAATACTGGCTAAGTCGTTGAAAAAACAATTGCTGCAACAATTGAAATGAACTTAATAATACTTTTAACAACAACGGCGAGAACAATCTATGAATTATAGTAGTTTCGTCGAATAGTTGAGCGGACAGACGGATTGAAATTAAACAGCAAAAAATTTTGCAAATGAAAAATATATAAACGATATGCTCAACTAAAAAAAAAGAAGACGGAGAAGAAGTGATAGATGCTGATAATTATGAAAACGATAATAATGAAATTTTAAATGATAATACGGTTAATGGTGATTATGATTAAAATTCAATATTAGATCAACAAACTAATTTAAGCTGAACTCTGCTGTTTAATTTAAGGTGAAAAAACAGGCATGCCACTAAAAATCAAAGCAACCAACCAAACAGCTTTAACTGTCAGCCATTCAGACAAAAGCGCTTTTAAGCCAGTGTTTTATTTTATTTTTCTTCCATTGTGTGTTATTATTATTAGTCTTTGGGGAGGAAGTCAGAAGCCATAAGATTTCATTATAGTATATATTAAACAAAAACTTAAAAAAAAAAAGAATTGTGGCTCCACCTACAAAATATGTATCTCCGACTGTTAAGGTTAACTTAAAGAAAAAAAAAAAAAAACCAGAATAAAGACTATGACCACGACAACTATTTCTTCCGTTAAGATCGTAAAGTAGCAGAGAAGTTAAGCTAAATTTAAATTGTTCATTCAAATCAATACAAATGAAATGAAATATAATGCAAGACAACTATTACTGTTCCCTTACAATAATAACAACAATGAAATCGAATAATTTTTTTTTTATGTAGTATTTCGACTCCTAACAACAAAGACGTGCTGTTGTTGTAAGATCGATTTTACAACTTTGACTGTTTACTTCTACTTTTTGTCATAGATACAACTTCCAGCATTGACTCACTAACTGACTAGCTAGCTGACTGACTGACTAGTTACAGCGAGCATAAGAAACTCGCACATTGATGGCTTTAGTTGATGCCCCTCACAAATGTTTTTGCCACTGCAAAGCCCCTTTTAAAGTATAAAACACAAAACCTTGAATACCCTTAGGAATCAACAAGAGTAACGACAACGTCACCAGTATTTTACAAAGAGACAAGAAAAAGAAAAAAGAAGGAGAAATCACCAACAAGTGATCACCGTCTATAGTTTCAAATACAATGTTTGCATCTAAATAGATCACAACATCGTTGAACAACGTAGAAATAATTGTTACCTTGAGTTTAATAAACAAAATACGTAGCAGCACTGTTTGGAAATTTTCCCTAATTTCTCACTGTGTCTCGGAACTGTTACGCGCAGGCTATATTTCTCATCTTTCTTATTCTTAAGCACTAAAAGATATCGTTCTTTAGGATTGATTTTTTCCTTGGTTTACTTTTCAGAGCTTATCTAAACGTAATTTGCTGTCTGTCTGTTCGTTCGCATATAAATCTTTTCTAATTGTTATATTAATTCGGTGTTCCCTGATTAACATTGCGACAGTTTCGTCACACATCTTTGACGGCTTATAACAGCAGCGATTTTTTTTTAAGATTTTCGTACATGACGAGCAATTGTTATTTATTTCGCGCACTGACTAACTGGGTCTCTTGTATTTCCTTTACACTGGAATTTTTTTCGTTGTACAAATTTATTGATTATATTTAACGTAGGCTTTGACACAAACTCCTATAAATAAAAGCCGCAAAATGTAATGTAAAAGCAAGTAAAATTTGCCTTTTTTAAGATCTTGAAAGGAAAGTGATTAAAAGTACCACTGTTTCCTTATATTTGAAAGATCTTTAATAACAACTATTTGTGTGTTTCGCTGAAACAACAATATGAACTGTTAACTAAACTTGTTTATTAAAGCCGCAAGTTCAGGTTTCTTGTTTTTATTATTTTATGGTTCAACTTGGCCAATATTTAATCGTAAACTGTACTTTTAATTATTCTTAATTATTCTTCATATCAATTGAAGTGGTTTATCGTTATTACTTTCATGATATGAGAGTGAAAGCATTAAAAATGATTGTAATGTTATCGTGGTGTAAAAGCCGTCGTACATTAAAATGCCTAAAAACACGGATGAACTTGGAGCTATTCATGTCTACGTATCTACATTCATTAATATAAAAAATTCACGAAATTGTTTCAAAGGTTTTCAAGAGATGTTAACGTAATAGAAATGAGCAAAGAACAAAGTAAGATCGCCTTTGAAATTTGCAAAAACTTTATGAGGAAAACGCTTGCAAAACTCTAACGCCACGTAGTTTTGACAATCATTGCAAAAGACTTACCTAGAATTGGTAAGTCGTACGTTTCCGAACCGCATCACGAGAACCTAAAATAAGTCATTAGTTTTCCCACAAGCCTACACTGTACATAGTTAAAGTAAATACGAGTTTGGCAATTAATATGATTATTACGTCTACGAATAGACCGCAATGTCAAAGTAACTTTGATTAGGTTTTCAAATTCTTAAGTATCTTGCGTTTGCTTACTTAATTCTACGGAAATCTATGTATATTAACGAAGCATGCGAAACTTTGCAAGAAATTTAATTTATATAATTTTTTTTAAGTAAGATTTACTAAGACTCGTTTAGTATAATTTGCATACAGTTATATATATAATGGAAAGTTTTATATTTTCTTTTTTTATTTTCTTGAAGCTACAACAATTAATAAAGTTGGCCCCTTTTTTATTGCCTTTATACTCTAAGTTGATGGCTTTAACACCTTTTGCTTCTCTCGTTGACTTCCTCATATCTTTGTCACACACTCACAGCACAATCGAGCCATTACAAGAGTAATTATAGTAGTAATTAGTGATTATAATAAAGCAATCAAGAGGGGAAAATATTCACACACAGATTTATTTTGTTTTGTATTTTTGTTTTTGTACTTACTCGCATTCACCCGGTTGTTGACATGTACCATGGACGGGATCACAGCCCGGTTTGCAAATGGCTTTCTCGCAATTATCGCCAGTCCAGCCGTTGAGGCAGATTTTCTCACCTTGTGGTCCGCAAGTGTAATGACCGAACTGATCGTTGCGCGGACGACAAAACGTTGTACACGTTGTATTATAATAGGTAGCTGCGCACTGAACTCTAACCCGATATGTTATCCGAGCATTGCGTCCGATGTGATCCAATGTCTTCCATTCGGGTGATGGTAGAATAACGCCAGAAAATGATGCTTCTTCAATTAACCTTTCAGAGTCTGATGTTCAGTTGAATTGGGTGGGTTGTACGATGTTCGTTTTTTATTTTCATTCGTATTTTAGATTAAATGTTGTTTTCGTTGTTGTGTTCGATGCGGTTGTTGTTTGTTTTGGTTATTTAAAAATTATACAAGATGGGTGGCGGCGGTCGTATTGTTGTTATTTAGTTAGAAAAAAAGTTTTTGTTGTTTTTTTACCATTAGTTTGACGTTTCATTTGTGAAGTTTAACCACGACAACCGGTAAACACAGTTTTTATGTTGTGTAAATGTTTTTACATTGCAATTTTTTGTTGTTGTTGGCGGAGTTGTAGATTTAGTTTTGTTTAAGGCAACGTTCATGCAAGCAGTTGTGTTAGAGTAATTGCAAAAAAATCAACGTTGGCGTCCAAATAGCAAACAAGACAAGTTCAGGTACAAACCACATTCGCATCAACCAATTGGTCCCATCCACAGCAACGAAAAGAGTTTACGTAAAGGAGAGAAAATTACAATTGTAAAGGAAAAAAGCATTAAAATTTTCCAATAGTTTAGTTAAATTTTTTTTCTGGTAAATTAAAAGTTAAATTTTATTGTTATTAAGACTCTTAAGTCGCAAGCGAGGAGAAGGAGGGCAGTTTCCCGAAAAACGTAGAGCGAAGCGAAAAAAGCCACACTTGTGAATTTTGCCTAATTAAATATTTCACCCCTTTTTCCACCAATCATCTAGAGACTTTAACACATTTTCGACTTTTAATTGGTCACACATTTGTCTTGGTTTTATTTTGCTAGCTGCCTACTAGTCGCCTTGATCTGTAAAATTATGTAAAGGAAAAGCATATAATTACCTGGATACGATGTGTTGTACATATCCAACGCCTGTAGAATTAATGTAAACGATTTCTGTAATTGAATTAAAAGAAATGCAGTTAAAAACAGAAAGCAGAGGCAATGTTATGTAAAATATATATATATATATATAATATGTGGAGCTACTCAGATCTTTTAGCATCTAAAAGTATGTAAAAGGTGTTGTACACTTTTCTTACAGGTTAAATGAAGGTTAAATAAGGTTAAATTATTTTGTCAATTTGTTTTCGAGGCGACTGCAGTTTTTCTTTTTAATTTAAAACATAACAGTAGCTTGTATTCTTTACTCTTAATGGACACATTTACTCGGAAATTAGCGAACAGCTAAAGGAATAGCCAAACGTACGTTATTCATTCTGTTAAATAAAACTTTTGATTATATTTGAAAAACAAAACAAAGCGAAAAGGTTAAAACGGAAGCTAAGTTGGTGACAGCACTAATGTGTTGTTTAAAACAACGATTTCTTTTCGTATTTGCGTTGCAATGCATTGAATGTTTGCAAATATTGTTGTGTCAGTGCTAGAGTGAATAAAGCAAATTAATTTAAGTACAAAAACGTGAAAAGATCAGATAATTGAAAAGAATTGCGCGACTTAAGAAAAACTATTAAGATTTAAACGATGTCAGAGCTGTGGTTTTAATTTCTAAGGTTTGAAGTGAAATTGGAGAATCAAAGTCGTTTTTTAGGAAATTCTTTGGCGGAACGTTGTGTTGCGCATGCATGAAACAAATAGATAGAAGACAAAAACTGTAACGTTGTAACGTTGTAACGTTATGGCGTTGTAAAATATGTGATAGATATGCTGCAGCTAATTAGCAAATATTTTCGTATATGCGTCCCAGTATTCGGGATAGTCATTTAGAAAACACTTTTAACCTATTCATTGCCAATCAAATTTGAAGACTCTTGCTCTGGGTGCCAAGATTTTAACGAAAAAATAAAAAAATGTTGAGTCTTTATTACTAAGAATTATTTTACATTTCATTCAATACAACTAAGTAACAGTTCATACAGAAACTACTATGTTAGAATGTTCTACAAGATATGTAATAATATTAAATATGTTTTTATGATTACATAACCTTTTCATTTATCTTTTAAAATAATTGCTAACTTAAATAACAGCAAACACATTCCTTGACCAATTGTAACCACTTGTAGTACAAAACAACGAAGTATCTCATAGCTGGGTGTAAATCGGTTAATCTTAGAAATAAAGTCGTGCATTCCAGTTGTCTTAGACGCAATGGGACATATGTCCCTACCCAATGAGAACGTTTTACTTGAAACCTCGCGAATACGATAGGGTAAACTCTTATTCACTTTCATCCCATCTTTAAAGAGAGCAAGCAGCTGTTAAAAACTTTACTAACTTCTTCGTCTGCTAACTAACAAATACCACTATGGTCAAGGAAAAGTAAGGCTACGTTTTCTTCGAATTTCATCGTGTGCAGCACTATATACTGTTACCAGGGAACACATTTTGCGCGTTGCGCCAGAATTATGAACGAAGTACTCTTAATTTTTGATTTACCATAATACACTTTCTAATAGCGCATTGGAATCTTTGGGCGCTTTGACATAAGATATTCAATTCAGATATTTTCGCAAGGCCGCGCTTACCTAATTTTGCACTGCCTGTCTTCCGACTCTTTTTTCTCGAAATTCAAAAAACTCTTCCCATAAAATATGAACTTTTTAGATGTAAGCAAATATACGTAACTGTTTAAGGACTGAAGGCAAGGGCATTAAAACTGACATTGATGTCAATGAACTTTCTGTCAAGCTGAGAAAAACAAGCTACGCTTTGAGAGGAACCCGCATGAATTAAATGGAAATTTCCTTCTTTTCCTTATCTCTTTTAATAACATTGACCGCTCTCATATTGTTTAAAATATAAAGTCTAAATTTACCAAAGCAATGCAAATTACTAAAGCCCTTAGCGAGAAGACTAACACTGCAGATCAGCAAATAATAAATCACTGTTCATGATCCTCTTTATAATACTCACAAGTAGATTTTAGAATCAATACGATCATGTGCATCTGCATATCCAGTAATGAAAATGCTATTACTCGAAATTTGAGCTTTTCATCCTTTTACCTAACAATGCACATAATTAATTCAGCATTTTAGAATCTCGCGTTTGCCATAGATTATTTTATCCTGTACGATCATTTGAAATTTAATTTAAATGTCGGGTTATTGCATTTTAACGCTTTATCAATTTATGTGCAGATGATTAGAAAGATGTAAAATCATCTTGAATAAGAAAAAAATACTTTGCAATTAAAAATTTATATACTTGTGTTCTACGTTTTTAGTTTTGCTAATCTAATCTAAATATCCGTAACCACAGGCTCAAGCAACACGATGATGATTCCCAGTTGGTTTCTTAAATGCTCAGTTTGTTTTTTTCGCAAAGCATATGTTAAAAGCGAAGTATACAGAAAACCGTTGTTGTTTTGATAGATGTTACCAGATGCGGCCTTTATTAACAAGAGAAATGTTAGATTTATGGCAATTCATGGTGTGGAAACATGCTCGAAAACACTGTGTACCACAAGCATCACATCAATACAGAGATAGATGATGTTGATGGCGGTTTAAGTTTAAAAAGAAAAAAAAATTAAAAACTAATGGAAGCATAGAGAATATATATCACAGCATACAACAACAAGATGAGCAAAAACTAAAATAAAACCTGAATACCTTTAGTATGAATTACATGAAGTGTATGACGTTCAAATGAAAAGGGGCAAGATTACATTATGACTTGAGAGAGATAACGATTTAAAGCTTTAGACGCTGTACAATTTATGGGTACGTGTGTGCATGTCGTACATTTTTATGCAGTTGAGCCTTTAAAGCAATTAAATTTGAACGACGTTGCCCAGCTGGAAGCCAGGAAACCTCTCATTTAAGATATATATATTTTTTTTTGTTTTTCTAGCCCAAGCGGTTGAGTATTGGAAATGAAATGAAAGTCCATTTCTCTGAATGTATTTGTGCAATGCCAAGCGCCAACTGTGGCTATTCATTCGTGTTCTGCTTTCTCAAAGCATCGCACATATCTACGACTGTTTTTGCTTGTCTCTAGTTCGATATGCGTCTCAAAACATCGGCAGCAACTTAGCATACTGACAAGACGACCACTTGTATCATCGTCGTGATCATGTGTGGCATGCACAGCCAACCACAACACCGAAATTCCAGTTAGTAATATATATTATATATATATATATATATATATATATATATATATATATATATGCTAATTTGCTCTACCTCGGTTTGCTACCTTCGTCTAACTTAAGCAATGCTTTTTATTTAAATAAATTATTTGAACTTTTTTCCTCGGTTGCTTTTCCTTCTAACCTAGACCTAGAGGCAGTGAAAAATGATTATAAGGAATTTCATTAGGAGCAAGTGTTGACAAGACAAAAAAGCTACTCTGGTCGATGAAGCAATTAAAATATTAAAAAGTGTCCAGCATAAATGCGGTGAAGGCAGAGAAGAGAGATTATCCAAACATCCATCTCTCATGCATCTTCTTCCGTACACAGTTTACTAAGTGCTTTTCAATTAATACCACACACATTCGTACCTGCACATAAGCGTGCAAATGTATGTCATTATGCGGCCCGCAATGCTTACAGTGCTTACAGTGCATGGCAATTAAATTAGTTACAAATAAGATCATGTCATGTTACACATTATTCTATTCGCATATATTTAAATAAAAAAAAAGAAGACGAGCCGCGAATAAGTTTCTGCAAACGTGATAAATCAAGCACTTGTCTATCTAATTGCTCGTTTGTCTAAAACATAACTTAAGTGTGCCTTTACTTTCCTTTTTCTACTTAAGCTTTTGTATTTATTTTTAGGTTGGGGTCATTTATGTAAACGTTTACTTATATTTTTTCAATTTTTTTTTAGTTTTGTAGATTAGTCTCCTCGACCAATTAGCGTTTGCATATTTAGTAAAGTACATGATTTCCGTATTTTCAGACAACAAGCTTTTTTTTAAAACAGAATTATTGTTGTTTTATTATATTACAATCGTTACACTTCCTTTTGGTGTAGCTCTTTAAACATAATATTATTGACATCATTTTATGATTTAATATTGATGTGACCTAAAATTCATTTAGGCAATTATTTATGCATTGCAATAATTCGGTTTTAGCAACAAAGCTGAGATCTTAAAACATATCCGCAAGAGGTGCAAAAGATGTTGTTTCCCCAAATTTATAGATTATGAAAACGTAGCCCTTTTCTTTTTCTTTAGTCCTTTTAGTTAGGGAGAACGGTTATAGGTATAAAAAGATGCGGTCATGGCCGAATATACTTCTCATACTTGCTTAGAATAAAAGTGGAAATATATAGTGTGCATCCCTCGTTGTTTATTAGTGACGAGCAAAAAACGGGGAAAACAAATATGTTCTCTGTTTTTGTTGCGTAGGCATGTAGACACTTTAGGTGTGTTCTTTTACCGGTTTAAAGCATTTTCGAATCCTTTTGCAAATGTGTAGGCGATATGTTCATTCTTGCGAACGGGAGAATGTTTAACACAGATACTACGCAGTCGGGCAAACGGACAGATGGACAGTGGCACAAAAATGCATGGTTGGGTGCATTCCGTATTTGAAAAAGTACGTTATAAAGATATTGAAAACAAAATTATATTTTTTATTAGGTAGGCGTGAGATAGTTCTCCAATTCTTGTACAGGTATTGCAATATCGCTCGTAGAAAATACGTTCAAATTTTCGTAAATTTTTCTGACGTAGTAATAATGAGCGAAAAACCAACTTTTTATATCTTTTGCAAAACAAACGTTTCCAAGTCAGTTTACGTAATACATTAGGCGCAACTTTTGAGCAGTTTTCTTAATTTTCAATGTGCTGTAAGAACTTTCAAATTTTCTACCAAGTTTGACATTCCACAGCCGGACATGTTGAGATCGATTCAGAATTTGTTGTTGATCAAGGATATATATGCTTTATAGGATCTTTCGTGATGTTGCAAG